GAATCCACCAGCTGTTCCTCAGGAGAAATACAGTTGATCTCTCTTAAGTATGTCCAAGGATGGAAAGAAACCTTGAAAACCCAGTGGAGGATCGCTGTGAGTCAGTAGTGACGCAGTGAAGGTGGATTTGATTTTTTTGGGAATTCTCATTTACCTATTGTCATGAACTTTCTTCTGACTCTGGGGAAGTCTCTGTTTGGTTTCCAAGACTATCTCCTTCACAAGAGGAGACTGCTTATCTTCTTCCCAGGGAACTCCACTGGCTTCAGAATGCCTGTTTGTACATAACATATTAGGCTGCTAACAGGACATTAGCAGCTCAATTCCATAGCCGCTCCACAGGAGAAAGTGGAGAGGTTCCTTGATGGAAAGATTTACAGTTGTGACGTTTTAGTTTCGTTTTCTTTCTTTTGTTACCATTTGTGCATGACAGAATCATGCTTATGCTAAAAATGTATTTATGAAACTTGGCTTATGCCATTTACTGTATGCTTTTCTCATTGAAAATTCAAAGAAGTTATTTTTAATAACTGCACACAATTTTACTTTCTGATTTTAGTATAATTTATTTTCCTATGGTATCTTTTCATTGTTCCTTGTCTTTTGTCATTACAAAAAACTGCTAAAATGAACACCAACTCTGTTTTATGCCAGACTTTCGACTTCCTCCTTGTGCTATAAAACCTTACAAATAAAGGCCAAGTAAGTAAATAGATTTTATATTTGCTTATGTATTAATTTTGTCCATTTCTATTTTACCTCTGATCTAATAATCCATTCCTTTATTACTCTTTAAAAATTGGGGGGAAATTTTTAAAAGATCTAGTTTGTTATTTTCAGTTAGTTTTATGATAGGCTCCTATCTATTTTCGTGTGTGTGTGTGTGTGTGTGTGTGTGTGTGTGTGTGTGTCTCCAAGAAAGAATGTCACAAGTAGTTAGCATACTCAGTTGTTAATCAAAAGGTTGGAAGCTCAAGTCCATCCAGAAGTACCTTTGATGAAAGGCCTAGTGTTCTATTTTCAAAAAATAAATTAGCTTTTGAAAACCATACAGGTTGCATTCTGTTCAGATAGATAGTCACTTGTGACCTAGTGGTAAAAAGCGGGGCTGCCAACTAAAGCAAGTGGTTGAAATTCACCAGCTACTCTACAGGACAAAGACGGTCCTTCTCCTCCCGTGTGACATACAACTTCTAGATTTAAAACTTACTAGAGGCTCAGCTATGACATAGTTCTAGCTCAATGATATGTAATAACAAAACAACTCATTTAGAACTAGCCTATATGTTCATGTCCGAATTGTACCTGTTTAAACAGTACTATAAAAATACTCTGGCTTGCATTCCCATGTAAACAAAACGATATAAAGCTCAAAAAGTGAATCACTAGGTTATCACCTTGAATATAACCCACCTGAATTTCAAAACCATTTCAGGAACAGGTTTGAGGCCATGAACACTATAATTAATGAAGACGAGATGACTTATGGGAGGGTATCAAGACTATCATCCAGGAAGAGTGCAAAAGGTCATTACAAAGAGGATGAAGAAAAGACCAAAATGGATGTCAGAAGAGACTCCAAAAAGCCAAAGCAGAGAGAAGAAATCAAGTTATTAAGGAGCAGAACGGAAGATTTCAAAGAGCATCATGAGAAGACATAGTAAAGTATTATAATGAAATGTGCAAAGAGCTGGAGTCAGAAAATCAAAGGGGCTGAACTCATTCGGCATTTATTAAGCACAGAAACTGAGGAACAAATTCAAGTCTCGAGTTAAAATATTTAATGATGCTTTAGGAAGAATATTAAATTATCTAGGAAGCATTAAAAGAAGATGTTTAGAGTATACAAAGGCATTGTACCAAAAGGAATTGGCAGACATAGAAGAATTTCATGAAACCATGTATAAGCAAGAACCTGTGGTGATAAAGGAGGAAGGTCAAGCTGCTCTGAAAGAATTGGCAAAAAACAAGGCCCCGGGAAGTGATGGTATATCAACTGACATATTTCAAGAAACAGATGTGCTTACCAAGTTGTGCCAAGAAATCTGGAGGACAACCACCTGGCCTACTGACTGAAAAAGATCTATATTTGTTCCCATTCCAAAGAAAGGTGATCCGACAGTGTGGAAATTATCACACATTATGATTAATATTACATGCAAGCAAAATTCTGCTGAAGATTATCCAAAAACAACTAGAACAACACATCAACAGAGAACGACCAGAAGTGGTAGTCTGGGTTTAGAAGAAGCTGTAGTACTAGGGATATTGTAGCTAATGTTAAATGGATCTTGGCTGAAAGGAAGGAGTCCCAGAGGAATATCTATCTTTGTTTCATTGACTGTGCAAAGGTGTTTGACTCTGTGGACCACAACTAACTGTGACTAACTGAGAAAAACAAGAATCCCAGAACACTTGATCGTGTTTATGCGAAATGTATCCTTGGACCAGGAGGAAGTCATCAGAACAGAGCAAGGGAACACTACATGGTTTAAAACTGGGAAGGGTATGTGTCCTGTCTCCATAAATTTTCAGTTTATATGCTGAACAGATTATCTGGAAGGCTGGGTCATATGAAGAAAAATGTAACATCAGGATTGGAGGAAGACTCATTAACAGTCTGCATTGTGCAGATGACACAACCCTGTTTGCTGAAACTGAGAACATGAAGCTCTTGCTTCAGAGGGTCAAGGACTGCAGCTTTCAAGATTGATTGAAGCTCAATATCAAGAAAATAAAAATTCTCACCACTGGGCTGATTGGCAGCATTGTGATCAATAATGGTGAAGAGATTGAGATTGTTAACAGCTTTAGTTTGCTTGGCTCCACAGTCAACACTTTTAGCAGCCAGAAAATTAATTGCATTGAGAAAGTCTGCTGTTAGTGATATCGCCAAAGTACTGAAGAGCGATGATGTCAGTCTGGAGAGTGAGGTACACCTGATACAGGCCATGGTCTTTGCTATCACTTGCTATGAGTCAGAGCTGGACAGTCACTCGGGAGAATAGAAGGATAATTGATGCCTTTGAGCTGTGGTGTTGAAGAAGAGTATTGACTGCTTAAAAAAACTGAACATGTTTGGCCTGGAGAGGGTGAAGCCAGACTGCTCCTTGGTGGCAAGGATTCTGAAGCTCCATCTGACATACTTTGGACATGTTGCAAGGCGGGATCAGTCCTTGGAGAGGAACATTATGCTTGGCAGGATGGAGGAACAGCACAGAAGATGAAGATCCTCTATGAGATGGATTGATTCATTCATTGGGGTATTGGTAGTAGGTGTCAATAAAATTGACAAGGGATAGAGAAGGATTTAGGGCTGTTGTACATAGGGTCGTTATGAGTTGCAAGTGACTCGACAGCACATAACAACAACAGCCTCACTCTATACCACTGCTATCAAGTCAGATCCCATTGATAGGGCCTCTCCTTCAAGTTTCTGAGCCTCTAAGTCTTTACAGAGTAGACTTCCCATCTTTCTCCCTTGGAACCACAGGTGGAATCAAACTTCAGATTTTCTGTTGGAAGTCTCCAGTACCCTTAGCCACCACATATACAGTATCTTCATCTCTAGTGTCGTATGTCCGTATCACCTAAAAAGGAGTGCCAATTTACACTCCTTACTACAGTAAAATTCCATTTTAATTATCTATCAGAAACCTTTTTTCCCCAAAAAAAATCTAGAACTATTATGTATGTGAAAGAATATTGTTATTTTTGTATGGAATAATCTTTTGACTTTGTTTTTTTTGTTTTGTTTTGTTTCTCTGCTTACAAAGAATTTTAGCATGTTCATGTATTTTACTTATCAACCACACTTCTTGTATATAATTTGCCCATTTTTCAGTTATTTTTCTGTCTTTTTTTTTTTTTAATTGTTTGGACACTGGTAATGTAACCATTATCTACCTTGTCATGATATTCTTTCAATGTCTCCTTTGCCTTTTAACCTTGTTATGTTTGTGAATTTTTAAAACTGTAGACAAAATTTTCACATTTGTCATTTTATTTTGGCTATTTTTTTTACTTGATCAACAAGGTTCTTTGGAGTGTCAAAGGTTTTTTGCTTGTTATTTTGTTGCTGATTTTTGTTGGTTAACTATTTTACAATAAATTTTAAACCATTTGATTATAATTTGCTTATTGTTGTTGTTATTTGCAGTCAAGTTGCTTGCAATTTATAGTGACCCTGTGTACAACAGCTCTGAACCCGCTCTGTCTTGAGCCAACCTCATTGTCTCTGGCACACCTAACCCCATTACCCCAGTCACTGAGTCAGGCCATCTTATCCAGGGTCTTTCTGTCTGCGCTGCCCCTCTAGGCTTCCATTCATGATATCTTTCCCCAAGGACTGGTCCTTTCTTGCAACATGCCCCAAGTAAGTGAGATAAAACTTCAAAATCTTTGCTTCTAAGGAGCAGCCTGGTTTCACCCTATCCAGAAAAAACCTGTTCGTTTTCTTAACAGTCCATGGTACACTCAATACTCTTCTCCAGCACCACAACTGAAAGGCACCAGTTCTTTTTCTATAATCCTTAGTTATTTTTTTGTTTTCTAATGCAGAGCAAGTAATTGTAAAGACTGTAGCCTGAATCAGGTATACCATAGTCTCTAGACTGCAGTTGTTGTTCTCAGTACACTGAAGAGGACCCTGACAGATTTTCCCAATGCAATTCGTCTTTTGATTTCCTGACTGCTATTTTTATATTTTGCTTAACTACCTACCAATAAGCTCCAGATTGAGGAAAAAGAAAAGTAGAAAGCAGAAAAAACTTTTACTGTCCCATCTTATATATGGTTTTTAATGGTTTGTTATGAGTCTTCCTTACTGATTTCTTGGAATATCTTTTAGTTTATCAACGTGACATCTCTGCAAAATAATTCTTTCTCATTTGGATTGTGATTTCACTTGCTGTTTCTGCTTTAGTCAGCATAATGAATACACAAGCCCAGAAATATTTTATCATTTTAAAACCATTGACATGGATTCTTTTTACTTTCAGCAATTCACAGAAGCTGCAAGTCCGTCAGTGCTTCCCCCTTCAGCTTTGCCGCTGGACCTACTTAATAATGCAGTCACTGCATTTAGTACTTTGGAAGACCTTATTCGGTATCTTGAACCAGATAGATGGCAGTTGGACTTAGAAGATCTATATAGGCCGAATTGGCAACTTCTTGGAAAAGCATTTGTTTTTGGAAGAAAATCCAGAGGTAAGCCCTTTCTTTAGATTATTGTTCTTACATATTGTTAAACCAGAACCCATTCATAGCTGACCCTCTAGAGGGTTTTCAGAGGCAATAAATCACACAGAAGTTGATTGCCCATCTTTCTGTTGCCTCTTAACATTAGAACCTCATTTAGCTGCCTTAATAGCTAGCTTTACCATTCTCTGCCAGAGCTTCTAAGGAGAATTTTAAATTCTTCATTGACAAAGTACATACATATAATTGTTTGAAACTTAGTAAACTTTCCCTCAAATTACAATTATAAAAGTCTCATTTTATTTGTAGAATAAACAAAAAGGCATCAGTAACCTATTTACATAATCTACTTTCTTACTCATTCAGACATATTTATATTTCATATAATGATTATTTTAAGGGAAAATAGCCATGTAATAGCTTACTTCAAAATAGCTTGCCTCTGGAAACCCTATGAATTTGGAGAAATGATTAAAGTTATACAAGTGTTCACGTCTTTCATTCATAGGGTCGCTATGAGTAATTTATGACTCGATGACACTTAACAACAACAATAGGTTACTGAGGTTTGGGAGATGAAAATGTATACGTTTGTTGAAAGTACTGTTCATGCTTTTCTTAAAAATATCAATATGATGAAGTCCTCTATTCCATGCTATGAGAATCATTGTCTACCTAATCCTAATACTTTGGGGAAATTGTCAAGAGATTCAAGAGAATGATTATAATTGCTGAACTGATTTGGGGGTTAGCAAGGGAGGTAGTTACCTAAAAGTCATCTCTCATCTGTCAGAGATAGAGCACTCTCTGTTTGCTAAAGCTGGAAACACTTTTAAAAAATAATAGTATCATATCATGAAGTAAAATTTATTGTTTCCAAGATAGAACTCAAAGGTATAAAATAATGACATAAAAGCATATCTAGATAATTTTACCCATGTAAAATTTGCTTCTTAAATTGTTTTTTGTTTAGTTTTGTTTTGGGGGGGTTTTGTGGTTTGTTTGCGGGTTTGTTTTTGGTTTTGTTTTGTGGTTTGTTTTTGTTTTTGTTTTAAATATACATGTATTTTCAATCAGGCGTGAGATTGTACTTAGTTCCACATAATCAGGAAACAGGAAATAATGTTAACATATCCCCATTGACATTAATATTGGAAAGCATCCCTATCAGATATTAGTGAAAATTTAATAGAAATGAGTAAGCGAGTATAATACATTCTAAAACTGTTTCCATCTATCAGAAACCTTTAAATCCATCCAGTGCCATTTTAGAGAACAAAAGAACAGCCTGAACAATTTCTGTGGAATGAATAGTGTTTAGTTAATTTGAACTATTCACAAGAGACACTGCACCAGACTTGTTCTTCAAATCTTGTCAGAAAGAAACTGGATTCCTGCCCTTTCCTGCACCAAATTGTAGTCTTTTTTGATCTTGAACTGTCGTCTTAGCAGGTCATGTTGAGTCTTGCCCAGCTATGGTATTTTACTATGCCAACATTTTTACTATGTCATTTAACTTGAAATTGGTGTTCAAGTGAATTTATGAATAGATGAATAATGTCCAGTTATAATATATGATCTTGATAAATCAACAAAAGGACTGGAACAGCACATCAGCAGAGAACTGCGAGAAGTCCAGGCTGGGTTTAGAAGGGGTCGTGGTACTAGGGATATTGTAGCTGATGCTCGGTGGATCTTATCTGAAAGCAGAGAATACCAGAAGAATGAATGTCTGTATTTCATAGATTAAGCAAAGGTGTTTGACTGTGCAGATCATAACAAACTGTGGCTGACTCTGAGAAGACTGGAAATACCAGAACACTCGGTTGTGCTAATGAGAAACCTATAGTTGGACCAAGAGGCAGTCGTCAGAACAGAACGAGGAAACACTGCATGGTTCAAAATTGGGAAGGGTGTACAGCAGGGATGTGTCCTGTCTCCATACCTTTTCAACCTGTATGCAGAACAGATTATCTGGGAGGCTGGGCTCTATGAGGAGAAATGTGGAGTCAGGATTGGTGGAAGATCTGTCAACAATCTGCGTTATGCAGATGACATAACCCTGCTTGCTGAAACTGAGGAGGACCCTTTAAAGCACTTTCTCCTGAGGGTCAAGGACTGCAGGCTTCAGTATGGATTGAGGCTCAATGTCAAGAAGACAAAGATTCTCACCACTGGACCAATTGGCAGCATCAGGATGGATGGTGAAGAGATTGAGATTGTTAACAACTTTCGTTTGCTTGGCTCCACGGTCAACACTCCTGGCACCAGTATCCAAGAAATTAAAAGACGTATTGCGATGGGAAAGTCTGCTGTTAGGGACCTCTCCAAAGTACTGAAGCAATGGTGTCACACTGGAGACTAAGGTGCATTTGATACAGGCTATGGTTTTTGCAATCACTTGTTATGCATCAGAAAGTTAGAAGGAGAATTGATGCCTTTGAGCTGTGGTGCTGAAGAAGGCTATTGAATGTACCATGGACTGCCAAGAAAACAAACAGATTCATCCTGGAGAGGCTGCTCCAGGCTGCTCCTTGGAGGCAAGGATTCTGGGGCTTCGTCTGACATACTTTGGACATATTGTAAGGAGGGACCTGTCCTTGGAGAGGGACATTATGCTTGGGAGGGAGGCGGGACAGCGCAAGAGGGGAAGAACCTCTATGAGATGGATTGATTCAGTGAGTGGGGTAATCAGGATGGGTGTGTCCATAGCAGTGCGATTGGCACAGGATAGAGCAGGGTTTAGGGCTGTTGTTCATAGGGTCGCTATGAGTCGCAAGTGACTCTCTGGCACATAACAACATAACAACAACTTGATAAATAACCTGCTGCACAACACTTCTCTGTAAAATATTAAATAACAAACAGTTCACTTTGAAGGTTGTGATCCTCTGACCCAAGCCATGGTGTTTTCTTTCGCCTCATGTGTAGGAGAAAGATACACAATAAGTAAAAATAACCAAACCATAGTTGATGGCTTGACTACAGTGTACGTGAAGCATATTGAATATACTCTTCAATATACTGCCAGAGAATGAATAAATCTAAGAATTACACCCAGAACAGCCTTGAAACAAAAGTCGTGATATCGCTCTGAAATACTTATGGCATATTATTCATGAAGGATCAGTCCGTGAAAAAGCACAACATTGTTGATAAAGTAGAGTCAGTGAGAAAGAAGAGGACCTTCAGGAGATGAGTTGACCCACTGGCTGCAACCATGCACTCAAGTACACTGGTTAGTATGAGGACTGGCCCGTGTTTGCTTCTGTTGTGTATGAGGTGAATTGTAATCATCTGGAGGGCACATAATGGAAACAATGGCATTAATTAACTTGGTGATTAACTTATGGACAACACCTCCCTTCCCATCCACTCGGGAACATGACAATGAAGATCTGCAGGGCTAGCTAAAAACATTCATGAATGGAACCCTTGTTAGTAAATCTGAAATATGTTATTATCATGTAGATCTGTAAGAATCTGTGGGAGTGTAAAGATTCTAATTGTAGATTAAGCTTTTTGACAGCTGATTTCTGTGTCCTGAGCCTAAAAATTCCCCTTCACATGTCTATTTCTGATGCTCTGTACACAGCACTCAGTGAAGATCTGGCCAGAGTCTGTCATAAATTTCAAAATATCCAGCACTGATCTAGAGCTTTCAAATATTCATTTAGCAGATCCCAAATTGGTGCACTTTGCAGTTTGCCAAAACTATTAACATTTTAAGTGACCAGTAAGTGTGAGAAAAGCAGTGTATATTTCTGGAAGTTTTCTTAAACTAAAACCCAGGTGTGGATAACATCTGTATGGACAAAACCATCCCCCTGCCTGTCTGTCTTTCTACAGAGGAATGAAAAGTAAAACTTCTAAAAGCTTCTAATTAGTCCTTGAAATCTACAGATTTTTTCCACAGAATAAACATATCACAGTGTTACCACATTCATCTTAGAAAGACCACCCTCAGTTACAAGTACAGTATTAGAATGTCCTGTCTTATCTGAAAGAATTATCAACTAACAAAGTAAAAATGAGCATAATGGGGTGGGGTTTTTTTGTCCGTATCAGCCTTTTTAATGAAATCGTGTAAGATATGATTAATCAGAAAAAGATCATATACACTAAAAATAGTTTCTTTTTTTGCACTCAAAGTCATCGTTCTTTAGAAAATAAACGAATGAATATGTCTACTAAGATATTTGATCCACAATCAACACTCTGGCACCAGCAGTCAGGAAATCAAAAGATGAGTAGCATTAAGTAAATCTACTGTCAAGGATCACTCCAGAGTACTAAAGTACAATGATGTCAGTCTAGATACCAAGGTGTGTCTGATCCAAGCCATGGCCTTCTCATTTGCTTGCTGTACATCTGAGAGCGGAACGGTGACTGAGTATGACAGAAGATTTGATGCCATTGAGTTGTGGTGCTAGAGCTAAGTATTGAGCATATTATCATAGATTGCCAGGAGAACAAATAGGTCTCTCCTGAAGTGGGTGAAACCAGTTTTCTAATTGGAGCAAGGATTTTAAAGCTCCATTTCATATACTTTGGACATGTCACCAGGAGGGACCAGTCCTTGGAGAAGGACATCATACTTGGAAGGATAGAGGAGTCAGCACCGAAAGGGAAGACCCTGGATGAGATGAATTAACTGACCCTGTGACTGTGGCTTTGGGGTCAAGTGTGTCAGAAAGGTGAGGTTGCCTCAGGATAGGACAAGGTTCAAAGCCATTGTTCACAGGATCATGACTCAAAGGCACATAACAACAACTAAGGTATTACAAACAGAAATACAGATTCTGCGGGCAAAGTTTTACTTTATAAATATTTTGCAGAGGAAAACTTCAATAACAATTTGGCTAAACTATAAGAAATACATATTGGGATGCAAATTTTACTTCCCTCCATTTTTTTGTGTAGTAGTTCTGACTGACAATGTTTGGAGAATTTCTGATATCACATCTTCACTTAGCATATTTTTAATGACATATAGGTGCAAAGTCTTAGAAATGGGAAGCACCCATTTCAAATACAATATGTCAAATTAAAAATCCTTAATTGTATTTTTCTCACAATATGATCTGCATTAAAGCTTTTTAGCCTCTTTACCCTGGTTCACTGATTTTCATTCACACCTTGCTACTGCAAGAAATTTAAAAAAAAAATCCAGCATACTTTCCAAGCCAGGCTTAAATCCTTCTTTAAAAAAAAGCTTTTGACTTTTGTGTCAAACATGATAAATGAGTGGAAGCCAAGTTGAAAGTGTGTTTAAATTTTCACATTGTAGCAGGTATCCCAACTTAGTTCACTTGGGAAATCTATCTAACTTTTTATTATGGTTAAGTAAACATTTTAAAGCAAATATATACAGTCTCATTTTCTATTTCATGAACTAGTGTGTTCAAAACTATTTGAGGGAAATGACTATCCTTTGAAGGCTCAGAGCTTCATTCATATCTTAAAGAAATATAAATCTTAAGTAAGCAGTAGAAATGTGACAGCAGGGGTGTGTGTGGGGGGGTGTGTGTGTGAGAGAGAGAGAAAGAGAGAGGGAATGCATGTACACAGATGTTCATAACTATGTGCACTGAAAGTTTTCTTCCTCCCTGTTCATATTTTACATTCTAGAAAAAAATTCCAAGAGACATTCATATACAGCTTTGAGAAAAGTAAGGATTGTGCATGATTATTTCAGCAAACTAAATATGTGGCATTATTTGCCTATCATTAATTTTATTATGGATAAATTGACTACTTTGTGTCATTAAAAAGAATGAACTATTAATTTTAAATATTTGAAAGCTTCACTTTCATAGTATATTTTCCAAATAACTTTAATAAAAATAGTATTTAATAAATCAAGATAAACAGATTTGCTATAAAGTTAAAAAAGTGAATTTTTAACTAAGCAAAATATTAAAATGTAAGCAGTGAATGTACCTTACTTTGGTGCATTTTTATACTTGATGTAGGTTTTAACCTCTTGTGAGGTTATCATTTATATTCAAATACATAACTACACAATGCTTTTCTTCAAAATAATAGAATTGGCTCCCTTGACAGTTTATAAAAACTTGTCAACATACAGAAATATAACCCATAAACATCTATTTATATCTTAATTCTTTTTAATACAAAATATTATCACAATTAACACTCCTTAAACATTCTGTTTACATAGTGATTATTAGTTGGAGCTTTTAAAACCAAGAAATATTAGTTTTCCTAATTATTTAAATATTGAAACAAATGCAGCCAGACATATTCTGTTTCAGCTGATAGCCTTACATTTTAAGAAAAGTTCTTTATTCTAAGAAAAAAAAATACAAAATACACCTGAAGAGTTAAGTATTATAAGTAACTCTTCATTTTCATTGCAATCCTTTTATTTGTATATTTCTAGGAAAAATAAAACACAACATTTTTAAGCAGAAATTAAAACTATATTAGAGGAATTTACCCTAGCAGTAATTAGCTTCTCTTCATATATTATGTATGAACTCATATTTAACATAGTATGCTATTTTGATATAATTTTCCTCAGGCACTGTCATTTTATATTTGAAAACAATGGTTCATTGAAGATTTACTGGAATATCTGATGAAAGGATATTTTGTTCAGTCTTCACAAATAGGTATTCTTTTAAAGAATAAAACAGCTCAGTTAACCAACTTGCTCAAAGAATAATAGTGACAATAGTTATAAATTAGACAATTCTTTAATCCTTTAGAAAGAGACAGATAGAAATCTGAAAGACTCTAATTAAGTCTGATAGATCATAATCCTTAATGTATTAGGAACAGTTTCCAACAGTTCCTACTGTTAAAAAATGTATCATTTTTCCTAATCATGGTTTAGTCAACTTTCTTCACAAATGACATTTTCTTCATTAATTTTATTTTCATTTTTAATGCCATGAAGTTTGGAGAAAGTTTTGACGACAGTTTTCATTAAGCATTTTTCATTTTACCCTTCCCTCTGACACTGTTCTTTTTTTTTCTTTTTAAAATAAGATTAAAATGTGTAGTGTTCTTTTTCTCAAAAAGTTCCGTGTTTATAGCTCTCGACTCTTTTATTACTCTGTTCTTAATATTGCACTGTTGCATATCTTTATTGGTCACTAAGTCATAATGAAGCTTTGTTTATTATAAGATTCCCACTTCGCAAGCATTGCATCCCAAAAACCTAGTTAAAAGAAAAAAAGAATATGAGTAGAGCTATTTTTCATGAAAGCCTAACTTTTCTTATGAAAAGGAGTTTAATGAAATGTATTCAGGCTCAAAGCCTGGGCATTAATTTTTCTCTACTTTTCCTTATTCCATTTAGTGGTGGATCTAAACCTTCTGAAAGAGGAGGTGAGATTATACAGCTGCACACCTCGTAACTTCTCAGTGTCCATAAGGGAAGAGCTGAAGAGAACAGATACCATTTTCTGGCCAGGCTGTCTATTGGTTAAACGCTGTGGTGGAAACTGTGCTTGTTGTCTCCACAATTGCAATGAGTGTCAGTGTGTCCCAAGCAAAGTTACCAAAAAGTATCATGAGGTAGGTATCAATTTCTGTTTGTTTCTTTTTTTGAGTATTTGTGTTTTTAAAAGTAACAATGCAAGGAGTCTGAAATTCACATTAGTAAAGTTTGTGTTGTAAGATAGGACTAGTCCTTGTAGACGAACCATGCTTGGGAGGGTGGAAGAACAGTGCAGGAGAGGAAGACCCTCGGTGAGATGGATTGACTCAGTGACTGGGGTAATGGGGGTAGGTGTATCAAAGATAATAAGATTGGCACAGGATAGAGCAGGGAATGGCTGTTTTACATAGAGTTGCTATGAGGTGCAGGTGACTCAACACCACATAACAACAACAGCAAGGTTTGTGTTTAAAAAATGGATGTGACTTTATGACAAAAACAAAACAGATCAACAACAGGTTTTACAAAGTATTTTGTTTCTATTTAAAATAAAACCACTATAACATTTTGTGGAAAATTTAACCATTAAGGATTTAGAAAGCTTACTCTCTGATGACATTTTGATCTCTGATGTATAAAAGAAGATTAGTCCTTCATTGAGGACAAAAAAGAAGTGGGTAAAGCTGTTCAACTTTTAATATTTCAATTATGAAGTAAAATATTTTAAAGACAAGCTTAGAAGTAAGTGATCCTGAAGAAAGAGGAACTTAGTTCTTTCTCTCTTTGGGGCCATATGAGCACATAAATCATACTAGTCTTTCCTTACCAGTTAGCCAGGTAACCTTTTACTGTTGTCACACTCTTTTATCTCTTCATTTCTAAAATCAGGTGAAATATAATACTAACTGTTGGGAGAATTCAAGTTTATGTACTCTAATTACTTAATTCATTAATGTAAGACTATCCCCAATTATTTCCTACCAGTTCCTCATGTAGTTGTGGTGTACCTTCAAGTTGAAGTCAATTCATAGCGACCGTCAAATGGGTATTCAGAGTCTGTAAATCACACAGAAGGAGATTACTCATCTTTCTCCCGTGAAACAACTAGTAGTTTTGAACCACATGCCTTTGTGATTGCAGCGAAGCTTCTTAGCTGTTGGCCAGCAGTTCCTCATAAACAGCCAGAATCTTGTTTCAAAGGTCAGGAAGCAAAGCCTGTGAATTAACCCTTAGCTTTTACAAATGGTTTATGTAATCCTGAGCTAAAATCTGCAATTGTGTCTATTTTTTTCCTCTAAGTAGAATAATTTTCACACTGTAAATAAGTTTATTTTATTGAGCATAAAAAGATTACTGGAGCCCAAAATTATAAGTTAGACGATTTAAACATGCACAGACACGCAAACTACATTTTATATCACGTCATTTTCAGGCTTTCACCACTATTATTTTGGTAGTTGGCCACGTGGGGAAAAGCCCTGGGTTCTAGAAACAAAAAAAGACCCCCTATAATCTCCTATCCTACTAGAACTACAATTACCTTATGACTGACAAGATACTTAGCTTTTGTCAAATAAATGAGTCGAATGTGATGATATTTTTCTGAGCTGTGTTATTCTGTAACAATTTGGGCATGGCAGTCTTTTAGAAGGTAGCAATCCAAACCAAAAGTCTGTGATTAAAATAGAACGGTTTACTGTCATTACTTGTTTTCTACTTTCATTTTTACACCATGTGCTTCTAAAATGTCTTGTTCTGGGAACTCAGACTCTGTTTGAGTTTCGAGAAGCAGATAATCTTGAGAGGATGGTGCCTCCAAGGGCTCCTGGCAGCAAGTGGCTAGACACAAGCCCTGCTGCTGCTTCACAGACTGGGAATCCAGTCAAGAACAAGCCCTTACTACGGTAATTCTAAAATGGGAGCCCCAAATTAAAATGCCTTAAAGGCTAAGCAGATACTAGAGTTGCCTGGTCTAATAATAAAAGGTCACGATAAGAATATGAATTAAGCTAGAGTTGTCTTTCTCTCACATAAACTCGTTCATTTCTGAAAGTTTTTAAAGCATATCCTTACTAAATAAAGTATATTTAAAAACGTGATTCAGTTATCAAAGCTTGTTTATAGAGCTATTTTAGAGCTATAAAACCTAGCCTACTTATAATAGCTTTTAAAAATCATGCTTATTAAATGCTGAGCCCATATCACATTTACGACCATTTCAATTCATCCTTTGATCAATTATATTCTCCTTCATCTTATTTTGTTTTCCAATAAGATTAGGTTTAGGGTTATTCACAAGGTTGCTGCTAAACATACAAAATCTTTCAATCTCCGTTGAAACTGAACTGTTGATTTTGGCATTTCTGTGAATAGTATAAATTTCTTCCCGATTGACGTGAATTCATTATTCCTCCAACTTGGAGTCTGGTTAATTATATGTAAACAAATAAATATATTAATACTTACATACAAATATGACTATATATTCAGATTCAGTGCAAATTGATGATTGTATGAACACATGTATTCATCTCTTTATGCATATATTTACAAGTATCTCACAATTATGTCTTCATGTATGTGCATAAATGTTATTACACAATCCCCTGATCTACATTTCTCACAAATATATCCAATAACAACCATCCTCTAATTTTTAAAATGCCTTATGGAAATCACAATAAGTTTAATAATTCATAAATGCCTATGTATATAGCCTGTGTCACTTTTTCTCATTAAGCCTTTGTGCATGTATGAAATAGGGGCAGCAATTTTAAATTGCTTCATGGAATTCTAGTGATTTAAAGTATGTTTTCATAATAGCTGATAATTAATAAGCATACAAAAATGTTAGCTAATTAGCCTCTCATATAACCAGCTATCCCAAATGATATCTATATACTTGATTGAAAGATGAAACGTAACAAAAAAATAAAATAAACACCAAACCTCTTAAAGAAGAATGGCTTCTGCATTTTTTGGACTAATTAAAATTTGCAAGAAGAGTAGCTTTACTAATGATATGAAATGTATCTATGTCAAGCACAGAAAGCACAAAAGCTAGACAACTTTATACTCTTATTTTACTCTATTCAGAGCCAAGCAAAACACAATATCTGAAGCTTTGTCATTGTTATAAGAAATAAAATTTAAAACAGTTTACTAGATGGTGATAATTAACTCAGTTAATGTTTTAAATAGTATATAGGTTTCCAACAGTATATAGGTAGCCAACCATATAAAAAGAAAGTATGCTTTAAATACCAGTATTTATATTGTCAGTAATACTGTTTATTAAAAACCTCAACTGTCCAAACTGCAAATAACTTCATTTAAATAGAGGCATTATTGTTCTTATTGCCAAACCTTACTCTGTACAGTAGGATCCAGCTGCAGAAAGTTAGCTGTGACGGAGGATGATGTCTATGAAGTATATCTAATCCATCTCATCAAGTTTATAGAGGACTTGAAGTGTAGCCAAGAAAATTAATGAGTGGCATAATGGAGCAGACTCAGCTGTGGAATGATCATGTTTCTTTCCACTGTCTTCCTATGCTTGAGCATAATGCTTCAAATATAAACATTAGTTACATTTGTGAATGAACAAATGAGTGAAAAACGCAGAAACAAACAGAAAAACTTAACTGTGAATTAATGATTCCAAAATATTTAACCAAGACCTTTCTTATAGTTAAATGAGATAAAGAAAGGGTGGGCATAGATTGTTTCAACTTAACAGCAGTTCTTTATTCTCAACTTGTGCCCTTTCAAATTGTGAGTATTGAAATGTCTTTTTCTTTGAAACAACAGTGACAGTTAGGGGAGAAAGGACACAGAGGTTATTTGTGTTTGGTTTTATAATATTCTTTCTAAGCAGAATTATATATGGTAAATCTTTGTTGAGCTGCAACACTCTTTTTTTCTGAAATTTACTTGTCCCAAAAGAAAAATTACAGACATGACATGCACAAGTGAGTTCTACAGGTGCCTCCCCCATTGTTCTCTTTCAGGTCCTTCAGTTAAGACCAAAGATTGGTGTCAGAGGATTGCACAAATCCCTCACCGATGTGGCGCTGGAGCACCATGAGGAGTGTGACTGTGTGTGCAGAGGGAGCACGGGAGGATAACTGCAGCGCCAATGCACGGCTGCTTCTGTTACAGAATTGATACATAATCTGCATCCGTAATCTCAGTTGTTTGCACCAGGAACCTTTCATCTCCAGGATTTATAGTACTTTCTGAAAGAGAAGTCACCAAACGGAATTTGGAGTGTACAGCAGTTCTACTGCCTGCAGGCCCAAAGAATGAGATGAAAAGGTCTTCAAAATATATCATGAGCTATTCACAGAGTCCCCAAGTACTTGTTCAGCTAGGTATGTCTCTATTCCATATCTTTTGGTAGGGTTTAGATTGATGTCAACACAAAGGAAAAGAATAATACTGTGTATAAATGAGGACTTCATTCTGTTCTCTTCTTCAGCTCTGTATTCTGGGCCCCAAACCACAGATACCTGGAATTGTTATCCTTAAAGTCACATAAATAAACCAAAATGTTCTTTGTTCTACAAACTTGGTTTTTAAAAGGGAACTGTGTTACTATAAATGAAACTTCACTTGTGTCATGCTAATAGGAAAGACTGGATACTTCCATATTTCTTATTATGGAAAGAAGAAAACTACATTTGTGGTTTGGAAAAGACAAAACTGAAGAGTGGCCTTATCTTCACTTTATAAGTTGGTTTAATTGTTTAATTGTGTACATTTTTATATTCTCCTTTTTGAACTTATAACTGTTTGCTTTTCTAATCTTGTTAAATATGTCTATTTTTACCAAAGGTATTTAATATGCTTTTTTTATTACAACTTAGATCAACTATTTTTAGCTTGATAAATTGTTTTCTAAACAGAATTGTTATAGCCAGAGGAACAAAGATGATATAAAATATTGTTTCTCTGACAAAAATACATGTATTTCATCCGAGTATGGTGCTAGAGCTTAGAGTAATCTGCTTTTTCAAATACCAAAATAAGAAATCAGTAGAACTTGTAAATTCAGAAGGCTTCTTGAAAATATATTCTAATGCCTTTCATTCTTTTTTTATTGGACATGCAAATGAAAAGCAATTATTTGAAAGCAGATATTCAGATCCTGTAATTGCTAAACTTAAGTCTTTTCTTTGGGAAATATGAGCCTAGCTCAGAAGACCATAAAGCACCTTGAAAAAAGACTCGACAGTTTCCTGACAAAGTGTGCTTCGATGTGCTGTAGAAACACATCCTATTTATTGTGATGCTACGGTTTTTATTACCTTTAAACTCTGTTCCATACACTTGTATAAATACATGGATATTTTTATGTACAGAAGTATATCGTTTAACCAGTTCTCTTATTGTACTTTTTGGCAAATGAAAAGAAAAATAGTAAAATGCCTTGCTTGTAAAATGCTTAATATTGTACTTAGGTTATGTGGTGACTATTTGTCTTAAAAATTGTATTGAATCACCAAATAAAGGAATGAGGCTATTTTGGGATGAAATTGAGTGTGTGTGTGTGTGTGTGTGCGCGCGCGCGCGCGCGCATGCACGCACGCGGGCACAATATTTATCTCATTAAAGACCAAAAATTAAAGTAATAAAATTTATATTGCCATAATTATTATTATGCAAAGCTCATTGTTGTTGAGTCAGAACTGACTCATTGCTGACTTTCCATTGGGGTTCTGAAGCTATAAATCACACAGAGGAAGACTGCTCATCTTTCTCCCACAAGCTGGTGGATTCAGAACCATTAGGGAAGCTTGGCTATTGGGTTAGCAGCACAGCTCTCTATGGGTTACAACATCTGGGTTCCATTATACAGAAGAATATGTCAATTCAAAGGGCGAGTAGAACAAGAGAGCATGTCAGTTGAGTCTTCCCAGCCTTTTCTCTCCAAAATTGCTGGGCAGTAATTTTCTTTCTCTCATTAGTCTTGATGCTAGCACATTGAATTGCAACTAACTTAAAAATTGAGTTTACCAAATACTCAAGGATCTATGGTTGTGTGAAGTGAGAAGAGGTGGAATTGACATTCCCCTTTTATCTACGTTTCTAAGGCCAAACACTAGTGGGGATAACATAAATTCTTATTCTATATGAGAGCACTGGTGGGTAGAGAGTTGAACTACCAATCCAAAAGCTAATGGTTTGAACTCACCCTCTGTTCCATGGGAGAAAAATAGGCAATATCTCCTGTGAGATTTATATCCTCTGAAAACTTAACTGGAGGGTCAGCTATGAGTCAATTCCAACTCAAGGGCAATGAGAGGTACAGCGGAATGAATTATTATACTTAAATAGCCAGATTCCAAATGTAAGTTGTCCATTTCAGACAAATTTCTAAGTAGGCTGCCTTGGCTGAGAGGAAGTGTCCACAGCATGTTACCTTCATTTTGATCAGGCTCTTTTTTTTTTTTCTTTTTCTTTTTTTGTAAAAATTAATTTTATTTCTTTAGGGTAAATTCTTTTTTTTTTAAATTTAGGTTGTTTATTTTTCATTTCAATGAACATCCACAGAGATTTTGGGATTCCATTCATTCATTTTTGCACCCTTCTCCCCGCACAAACCCCTCCCCCCTCCCCCCGCATTTGCTCCTCTCCTTGAAAAGCAAAAGAAAAACTCCCTCATTGGTACACAATCCACCCCCGCACCTCCCCAAACCCCACCCCCTACCCCCAAATATCAGGCTCTTTTAAGCGGGACCCTTCCTCTCTGCCTTTTTGTGTGTGTTCCAATCCTGCCCCACTGTTTACAATGTCCTAATGAATGTTAATTAGCACATATTTTTATTACATGTTTGGTCATTTTGTTGACTGCAAAATTTTATAATCTTCCATTTCCTCCTCTTTGGTGTTAGCTATTCATGAATATATTTGAATAATAGTCATACTAATGGCTCCTCCTTGTATACGTATGAATAATATCTTCCTATCACTCACAGGCTTTTTTGGCCTAGTGGCAAGAGGCTGTGCTGCAATCCTGAATGCACGCAGTTCGAGGCCACTGGTTGCTCTGTGAGAGAAGGATGGGCAATCTATTCCCGTGTGATTAACTGCCTCTGAAAACCCACTCCAAGGTTAGCTGTAGGTCAGTCCCAACTCGATGGTAAACAACAACACCGCTCACAACATTGTGCTTCAAGATGGAATTTGAAATTGTCTTTTTAACTATGAATACACCACATTCTTGCTATTGCTCATATCTGGCATAGTATATCATCTGATTGTCTGATTCAAAGTTGTCAAAGTCAGTCCATCGCATACGGCAAATCCAATTCATTTTTCACAACTTTTAGTTCTTACATTCATATTCCATGCATTACATGTTCAACTACTAGAGTGTTTAAAGCTATTTTACACATTTTAAATGACTACCAATCTGGGCTCTACCTCTAGTATCTATTCCTGTTCCTCTATTGTTCATGAAGTTTTGAAGGCCTGTTATTTCAGAAGTTGATGCCCAATCTTTGTTTCTAGTCTGTCTAGTCTGGAAGCATCATTAAAACATGTTCACTATAGGTTTAAGCTGGATTTAGAAGAGGCCATGGCACCAGGTATATCATTGCTAATGTCAGATGAAGCCTGACTGAAAGCAAAGTATCCCAGAAGAATGTCCATTTGTGCTTCATTTACTCTGTGAAGCCATTTGATTTTGTGAATCATAATAAATTATGTCTAACATTGAGAAAAAATAGAATTCCAGAACTCTTAATTGTGTTAATAGACTGAGACCAAGAGGCTGTTGTGTGAATAAAGCTAGGGTATACTTGTGTTGTTGTTGTTGTTGTTATGTGCCATCGAGTCGCTTGCGACTCAAAGCAACTCTATGTACAAGAGCTCTAAATCCTGTTCTATCCTGTGCCAACCTAGCCATCCCAAATGCACTTATTCCCACTGCTCCAGTCACAGAATTGTTCCATCTCATCCTATATGGTTTAAAATTAAGAAAAGCATGTGTCAGGGCTGCATTCTTTCTCCATACTTATTTTTGTATGCTTAGCAAATTATTTGAGAAGCTGGACTCCGTGAAGAAATGTGGCATCAGAATCAGAGGGAAACTCATCAATAGCCTTCATTATGTGGATGACACAACCTTCACTTTTTTTAGAATTATGTACTTTTATTTGTATTTGCTTGTTTGATTTTATTTCAATCAAAACTTTATTGTTATTGAGTAGGTAGTGACTCACAGCTGCCTCTCTACCTGGTTTACAGAGGCAGTAAACTGCACAGAAGGAGAGTGTCTATAATTCTCCCAAGAAGCAACTGGTGGATATTCATTGCTTTTCTTTGAGTTGGAAAGACAACTCTTTAATGCCAGAGCACGTGGTGAGTGTCAGATGGCATAAGGCAATCTTCCTGTCACAATTATAATTTCTACATTTGTTTCCTCATTTAACAGTCTTTACATGCACCTTGAAAGGGTACAAATAAGAATAAAATTAAAGTATCTCATTCTATTACCTCAGTCTCACCCCAGAATTTACTTATTCTTGTATTTTGTTTTAATGAAAATCAGAAAACACAAGTTTTAAACTAAGTGTGAGGAATCTTGATGTTGTAAGAGTTCCACACTGGGCTGTTTGAATTCACCCAGAGACTCTGAGAGAGAAATATATTACCATATTGTTCATCTTCCAAAGGTATCACCATCAATTCAGTTAAGATTTTAGTCAAGAGAATCCTATGAGACAATTTGGCTTTGTCATGTGGAGTTATGATCATGTGAAAGTAACGACAGTGATAACACCACCACTTAACGTGACATGATTCCTTTTTAAAATCATCCTCACACTTCAATTTCTTTTAATTACTTAAATGGAGTGTGTGTGTATATACAGAATTTGTTGTTGTTTTGACCCATCAAGTCAGAACTGACCCATAGCTGACCCTCCAGCAGGTTTTCAGAGGCAGTTAACCTTATGGGAGGAGATTGCTCACCTTTCTCCCATGAAAGCAGTAGGTGAGCTCAAGACATCTGCCTTCTGGATTACATCACAGCTTCTTGCCACTAGGCCGTAAGAGCTCTAATGCGAGAGGGAGAAAGAAAGAAAGAGATCTCATCCTTTAAATTCATGGAAATGAGCAGAAAAATTATATAATAGATTCTTTACATCTCTTTTTTCATTTATGATGCACATGCCATCATCAGCAAGTCCCACTGACTTTCTTCTTGTTGTGATGTCCATTGAGTTGCTTGCAACTCATAACAATGCTATATCCAGCAGCTCTGAACCCTGCTCTATCCTGAGTCAACTTTATCATCTCTGGCACACCTACACTCATT